AAGTGTCAGACGACTACCTAAATCTATAAAGGAAAAGTGAACCGTGCATTGTGGTGCAAAACCTAGTAGTAGCTCTAGTGATTCTCTCTCCATGGAGCATCGAGTGTAGCTTCTGCTGACTTCAGGGTGACCTCTTTCAGATGCTTATCTAGACCAAGGAAGTTGAGAAACATTCCAGATGGTGTTTCTGTAGCCCGACCAAGAAAATAACATGAAGTGGACCTCCACACCAGTGCATTGCTTCCACCATCCTATTTTTTGATAACTTAATCTCCATGGAAATTGATAAAAATTCTAAATCAAAAGGCACATGACTTCTTTCTTTGGGCTCCTTGGATAACTGATGAGCATTTCTGCAAATAAAAAGGGCTGTGTCTATTAAACTACACTTCTGGATACAGTTTATAATTGTATCATGTTTTGAACAGAGCTCATAAGTTTTGTGACTTGGCTTAAGAAACTCTTCCCTTAACCAAGATTGCATTTATGAGCTACTCTCCTGAAGCCAGCAGTGGCTGAATCCAAAGTCACAGTCCCATAATTCATATGTCTCACTTCTCTCTCTCTCTCTCTCTCTCTCTCTCATGTCCAGCCCCACTGCACCCACTCTGCATATTCAACTTCCCTCACACACACACACTTGCTGCCCACATACTCACATACTCCTTGCTCCCCCCTTGTAATTGTTCCCTTGCACTGCTGATCCATGGAAAAAGTGTCTTATTGATCCACAAAGAGAACATGGTGTCTTTTTTTGTACAAGTTCCCCATTGTGCATGCAAGCCATCACACTTGGGCAATCCTGCTTTGTGTGGTAGAACCTGTATCACATTAGTAACCATTTTTTTAAAAAAAAGAGGGAGAAAGGAAGATGTCTAGCAACAGACCGTATGCTCCTATAAGGCTGTAATTGTGGACATGCTCTCTTCAAACTGCTAGGGAAGGAAAAGGGGCCTGCTTCTAAACAGTCCTGGGTAGATTACATTGTTAATATCTTCCAGATGTTTTGGACTTCAACTCCCATCAGCCCAAGATAGCACAGACACCGGCAAGAGCTGTATTGCAAAAAACTTTTATTTTGTTGCCTTTGTAGTACTTGAAAGTTTAACCAGGAGTCTGCTTTGGCTTTGCACACATTTTTACAGAGGACAACTACCAGATTGTCCTTGCTCTGACCAGGACAACACAGGGGTGACAGGTATTTATAATGTCTACTGCATCCAAGGACCATTTCCTACTAATGCTGATTTTTTTTTTACTGCGTTCAAGGTGGGAGAAATCCTTGAATTTTGTCCTCTCTTCCCTGGTAAAGGTTGAAAGAACATAGGTGGTACATTGTCATAGCATAGTACTTTAGAAATGAGTAAAAAATGAGCAGTCCTACTGTGTTCATTTTAGCAGAAATCTGGAGAGAGCTGCTGGGTTTCTTAGATTAAATATTTGTATAGCAACAACTTGTTGGAAGCCAGACTTGTGCTTAGCAGACTGTCTACTTCCAGCCTTTACTGAAATGCAGTGGGGTCTCAGAACTCAAGGAATGCTGTTCCCTTCCCGGTCCCCCTGCCCCCATCACAGCAGAACAGCAATTAAGTGAACAGATTCAATACGGACTAGAAGGAGGAAGTGTGTTTCTGGAGTGTGAACCCCGATCTCCCCACGCGACCATCAAGTGGCTTATGCAAACAGACGATTCTACCAAACGCAAAGTGGTAAGTCCTGCTAAGCATTACGGCACGTGGCCTCATGCTGCGGGCGCAGATACTGTGGGAATTTGAAACCGAGGATTGGAAAAATCTGATCATATGGCGGGCACTCTTTAAGAAAACAAAATCTAAAAGTCACTGTCTCACGGTGGATGTTGAAGTTGGCAATTGAAACTTTGCTGAATTCACAAAACCTGTAATCAGACTCGCATACGCTTTGTTAGATCAAAACCGACCACATTATACAGCTTATGCAGACTAGGGCACTGACTAGTGAAATGGCTGTGTAAGATGCGAATTGAAAAAGCAAAGTAATTTCAATTATGTCACACGCTCTTTCCTTCCCCAGTTGCCCCGGGATCGCATATTGCTCCAAACACCTCAGGGTGTCCTTTTAGGCCCAGTGATGCCATCCGACAGTGGGCTCTACCAATGCGTAGGCACTGAGAATCGCTTTCGCCACACGCTGCGGCGGCTTCGTCTGCATGTCCTTCCCCGGGCTTTGCTGGAGGGGGCCATCACCTCTGAAGAGGCACCTACCCTGGGCATCTGTGAGAGCTACTGGCAACAGTTCAACAGAGCCCAAGGCATCCAGCATAGCCAGAGCGGCCACCAGGCCCACACTGGACCCAGCCTGTGGAGTTCTGAACAGCAGTCCAACTGGTACAGAGCTGCTCAGCAGCACTCACTGAACTGGACCACCAGTAGTCCCAATCACTGGCAAAGCGGCAGCACCAGCAGCCGCCGTCGCCCACACCACCACCACCACCGCCATCACCACCACCGCTCCAGGCCATGGGCAGGGCATCCAACTCCACCTCGAAGCTGAGCTGGATGGAAGACAGTGGGCAGGGAGAGGCTTTGACCTAATCTTTGGCGCGAGAGAATGACATTCCAGGGGACTCTTTTTTGAAGAGCTGAGTGGATCTAGAGATGGGGAAAAACCTCTTTGCTTCCTCCAGATTGAGGGGACAACACTATTGCTAACAAAGTGTGGGGTGCGGTGTGTCCAGGCTAATTCCAGGGTTTTTAGGACCAGGGCTTACTGGCTCTTTCCTGAAATGGAAAGCTGGCTAGTGCTAATTGCAAAGGCTTTGGCATTCTTTTTTTTTTTTTACAGTATTCATTCCCAATCTTATGCCATCCTCTCACATCATAGAAGGAAAACTGTGGGGCTTCCTTCAACATTAACACCATCATTTTATTAACCCTATGCTGCAGAAGCATGTAGCAGAAAATAAAATACCAGTTTATTTTCTAAACAAAATGGAAAAGGGCCGTTGTGGATTTGTGAAAGGAAGAACATTTCCATGCACCGTGAGCCCAATGTTACAAATAGTTTTAAGATCCAGCCTCGTCAGAATCAAGCCCTGCCATGTACCGAAAGAGGGCAATGTCAAAACGAGTTTAGTGGTTTATCCCGAGTACTGCCTACACCACAGGTATTTAACGGAACCCTTTGCTTCAATGGAAGTACTCACACCATTCCTCTTTTTGTCCAGCCTTAACTGAATAAGGAAATACAGAATATATGGGCTTGGTGATACAGTGGGCCCAAATGCCAGTCTATCAACTGCTTTTCAGCCAAAAGAAAGCAGGCGGCTTTAATCCATTACAGACGCTAGTTCAGGAAGTATATTTTTATGGCAGAAACACATAGGCCTTTATCTCGATTACTTCCCCCTTTCTGATAATTTTAACAGAAATGGTTAAAAACCTTGCAGGTTATGAGCTCTTCCAGAATAAGAAGCAACCGATTCTGTATTAGACCAAACCAAGTTTCATCTACAGTTGAGCCATACTCTGGGCCATCAACTCCCACTTGTAATACACATTTAGATTTCATTTACTTTCATTTACTTTGTTGATAGGTCTTACCAGCTTTATTCCTGAAGAATGTAATATTTTTAAAAAGCCATTGGAGTCAGGGTATGAGGGGAGAAGTGGGGCTATGACTACAACTCATGGAATGAATTCTAGAATATGTGATGAAGGGAAGCTTTTTTGAAGCTCTTTCCCAGGCTGGTTGGGATTGCATAATCTAAACCTAGGTGTCAATTTGGCTATTCCCTATTTATTTCTGCTATGCCTCATTTCTTAAATTTAACAGAGTATTTTGATGTCATTACTTGCATTTTTCCTAGATAAATATTGAGTCATGGGAAGATAGACCCTCTCATTCAACATAAGCTTTGGTATGAGATTTTTGTGAAAAGCATCTGAAAATTTCAAGTACACAATGATCTTCTGATGATCACTAATTTCACATTTGAGACACAGAATTCTAAGATTTTTCTCTCACAGAATCCATGCTAGTTCTTCCTCGGTTTGCCCAAGGTGTATTCAACTACCTTTAGTATAATAATGCTTTCTACAAATATACAGAAAATGCCACTTTTTATAAGTCATACATTTTAGCTCAAACTTTTATATTAAAATTAAGAAATCGTGGTTAAATAATATGTAGCCCAGTTAATATTAACAGTTTCTCCTTCAATTACCATGAGCCCACTGATCACCTCTGCTGAGCATGTCTTTAAAGGTGCATTCTCCAAAAAGATTCTTAAATTCATCTGGAATGAAAACTGACATAATTCATGTTCTACTCACTTGCCTTAATTGTATTTCTACTTTTTTGTCTTCACCCACTGGTCCTATTACTTCTCTATAGATGCTTTTTTTCCCCTGAAATATTTCAGGAAATTTTATTACTTTTCACTGGTCTGAAAAGTTTGTTCCTAATAGCTTTTTGTCATTGGCAATATATTATTTTTGCAAAAAATTGAAATTCTCTAATTATGTGTATCTAACAATTAGAGAAACAAAATAGAATTATCTACAACAACTATTAGTAATGTGAAAGGGCCATTTCACACTACACCTCACTGAGAATCATGATACAAAAATTCAGGTTTGAAACAAGGAAACAGATACTCGGGGCTTCTCATTACTCTATGGTCATGCTCCTACATAGTAGGAAATTAGAAAACAAGCTACAGTACTGACAATATGTTGTGTGAAACTGGGCATGCTCACAACTGCCACCAGCAACTCTAACTGACCAGGTCGCCTTCATCCCAAGATCCAAGTAAATTTGTTAACCTCCAAAGTTTAATAATAATAAAAAAATCATAATACAATAAAATAACACACCCCTCCCTACCCCCAACATCCCACCCTTCTCTGCTGGAGAAAATAAAGGAAAACACTAAAAAGAGAAAGACAAAAAGTTTTTAGTGTCGGAGCCTGAGGCAGTATGGGGCCCATGATTTGGGGTGGGTGGGACGATGAGGGTGGAGTAGTGGCTGGAGTGGAACTAAAATATTCCTTGCCTTTTTCCACCACCCTAGAGAATAAAGTGGTTACCACAATTCCTATAAAACCCAACAGGTACCAGGAGGAGGATGGGGGTGTCTAGGGAGAGCTGCCCCTCTGTGCAACAGGAGGTGCTGTCCCTGCAGTATTCAGGGAATGCTGGTACAAAAAGGAGGACGCTCCTCTCAGGAGGAGGCCCCCAACTCCTTTCACTGCCTGAAGCGAGGAGCTGGGCATTGTCCCAGCCCATTCTACCACCTGTGCCGGAGCTCTGCAAGGCTTCGGGCCTTACAGCAACACGGTGGTGCCCTCAGTTGCTTCTGCCAACGAGAACGTGGGCCCTGCTTGTTGGTGACCCCTGCAATGCCTCCCCTTTCCGTAGTATTGACAATACAAAAGGAGGAAAAAGAAAATAAAATATTACATCATCTGAAAAATAGTCTGATGCAGGGCCAGTGCCAAGTCCTGGGGGTGGGGGGTAGATGCAGCCTCAACTTCTAGGGCTGGGTGCCTCCCCATGCAGAGTGCTAGTCAAGCCAACTGAGTGACCTGGGGCTGCCAGAGTCCCTTACAGTGCAGTGTAGTCCAGGAAGGAGAAATCCAGGCACCTTCTAGCCGTCACAACTGCCAGGGAAGATAATTGTTACATGTTAGGAACTAGCCAGCCTGTTACAAAAAGCCCTACCTGCCCTGTAAACACCCTAGGCAACTTGGTGGCATCCTCCTCCTTCACTTACTCCAACTCCATTGTGGCTGCAGTCTGTGCCTGCTGCAGGGGGAGTGCCACCTTGGGACAGCACTGGGTCTGACCCCCGGATCTTCTTTGGCTCTAATTCCTCCTTAGGCAGGGCTGGGCAATCACCACGCTCTGTCTTGCGTTTCCGCCGCCGCTCTGAGTCTCGGCCTCGCCCACGGGTGATGCGCCGCTCTGCTTGCTCCAGCTGGAAAAAGACAAGAATGCAGGCACTGAAGACTAGGCCCAGTCTTGTAATACATATGTGGCGTCATGTGGATGTATTTTATAAACACAATAATGTGGCTAAAAGGTATAATTACATACTCAGGGGTTGTTGTGTTTTTTTTTTTTTTGAAGTAATTACATATTTCTGGCCATCATAGTTGCAGTTCTTGAATAAGAGGAGCATATGGCCGATGCAACCCCCACATCATAAAATGCTGAAAAAAGAAAGTTGTATAACCAGAAAAACCTTTGCTCATTTCCCATCTTTCAATTTTCCATCCTTGTTTACTGAAGGCTTTAGTATTCTCCTCTACATAAGAACACAACAAAAATCTGTGAACGTACAGAGACACAGATTATAGCTACCGAAGAAATGCTTGATGTGGTTGACTTACAACCACAATTGAACCCAAAATTTCTGCAGCTAAAAGCAAGGCAGTGAATTGAGTTTTGTCCCATTTTTTTGCCACAGTTGTTAAGTCAATCACTGCAGTTCTTAAATTAGTAACATGGTTGTTAAGCGAATCTGGTTTCCCTGTTGACTTTGCTTGTCAAAAGGTTGCAAAAGGAGATCCCATGACCCTGGGACATTCCAACAGTCCTAAATACATGCCAGTTGCCCAGCGTCTGAATTTTGATCACACAATCATGGGGATGTTGCAATGGTCGTAAGTGGAAAAAAAACCCCAGCCATAAGTCACTTTTTTCAATGCTACTGTAACTTTGGTCAGCAAACAAATAGTTGTAAGTTGAGGGCTAACTGTACAGTTAGAAAAGGCAAAAGGCTAGAATGCTGCAATTTTGTTTTCCTTTTGATGCTGCAAAGATAACAGCTGCTGCAATTACTCAAAAATGGGGGGGGGGGCAGAGGGGAGACCTTAAAAATTCCAAGTTTTGAAAAATAATCATCAGAAAGATCTTTAAGAAATGGAGTTGTTTCACATTAGCTGTTAGCATAGGAATTATCCTTTTTCATCTTATCTCTCTCAACCAACTTTCGCCAAGCCCTTCATACAGATAATATAACTTTTCAATCATATGAATTCAGCATCGGGTAAGTGATATTAAAAAATCTGCATTCAGATTTCCTGGCTTGTACATCCGTCTCTTACTATAAAGCCATCACACAGGAAGGAGGAAAAAAACATAAATTTTCATTTCTGTACTCGATTGCCAGTTTTGTGGTAAAGCAGTACACCTATTTACCTTTCCTGTGCGACACCAACTTCCAAAGAATCTTAAAATCTGACTCAGCTCCTGAAATACTAACAAAAATGCCAAATGTCGTGGCTAGAAATGCTCTACTGGCCTTTTCATTAAGAGGCAGCCTTCACACCTTCACAAAGAAGACATGGAAACCCCACACAAACAAGAAGAGCTTGGAGTAGCTGCTGATTGTCAGAATGACACTCACATCCAGTAGCTGCTGGAATTTGTGAAGCTGGGGAGCGCAAGCAGCCTGCAGCAAGCGCCAAATGCTCTGGCTCTCATCTAGCGTCACTTCCAGAAGATCCCCTTCCATTAGCAGTTCTTCCAAAGGTAGGCGGATGGCATCTGCCAGCTCTAGGACCGGGCCTTGCAGCTGGGGCAGGTAAGAACAAAGCATATCCAGGTCTGCAAGAGAAGCACAAAGGCACCCCAGCGTTAAAGGAACAGCCCAACTTCCTTATTTTTTTTTTATTTTTAATCACAGAAAAGGGAATTATCTTCCCACCAACAGCTGTTAGACAAGTCTCAACCCAAAGTGATGGGGTGGGGTAGAAGAACAGTACCCAAGTCCGTATTTCAACTCTCAGTATTTTCAAGAGAGCAAAGAACACTGGCCAGTTACTTACTTAGCAAGACTTAACAATATAGGATTCTACTAGACCAGTACCTGAGGCACAGGAGCTGTTCTTCTCTGGAGTTGTGGCATCTCCGTTCTCTAAGGAAATCTGAGGGAAGGGAGGGAAGAAGTATGAGGAAAGAGGTTTTTGTGCCACAAATGCAATTTCCACATCATGCCCATCAGGACCTACGCTGGCTCTTCAGCTAGTGGCAGGGGCATGAGCAGGGGCAATGGCTCCATGTGGTTTTGTTAATGCAGAACAACGAAAATATTTCCTGCACTACACTTAATGGCAGCGACATCTCCAAGACAGATTGGCTGAACTGCTATGACGACAAGAAATATCCAGCTCCTTCAGAAATGAAACAATGAGCAACCAGGCTTCTTTGAGGGGGAAAAAAAACACTAAGCTCTGAAGAAATCACAAGACTTTGTATAATCTTGGGAAATGAATTAAGAGTATAAAAGTCTGTAAATCTACAGAAAGGTTTTGGGGAAAAGAGAGCCAGGCTAGTACAGGCTTCAGGTGTCAAGCTAGACTAGAGAAATTCAGGTTCTAGTTCACCCTTAGCCACAGAAATTCCTGGATGACTATGCCAGGCCCGTTAGTGCTATCCAGCTCAAAAGATTGCTATAATGGAGAGCAAATAAAGAGAGTATTATACAGGTCTTGCGCATATACGGAAAAGATGAGATATAAATCAAACAAAGATATTGATCAGAGAGGAGGCAAGAAAAATGTCCTGGTGTTTAAGAATATCAACTGTAGGCTAAGGGGGAAGAGTCGAGAAAGAGCGTTTAAAAGAAAGCAGAACCAAGAAGACGGTGCTCTGAGAAACTAGGAGCTTATAAAAAGGGGAGGGGGGGCACAGATCAAGATGCCTACAAGGAGGGAGAGGGAGAGGGAGAGAGGGAGAGAGAGAGAGAGAGAGAGAGAGAGAGAAAATTGGTCTGAGAAGCAGGAAGTGCTGGATTTTGAGAAATTTTGCCAATTGGCAATTTCTATTATGAATGGAATAATGAGCCCAGCACAGTGAGGGCAGAACGATTGCAAGACCGTGTGTGTCTGTGGGGGCCCGTGTATGTTTATTTGGCTTTATGAGCTCATCTAACTTGTTGAGATGGGCAGTCAGAAGTAGTGCTCAACTTACAACTACAATGGAGCCCAAATTTTGTTGTTAAATGAGACAATTGTGTTTTGCCTCGTTTTATGACCTTTCTTGCCACATTTGTTAAGTGAATCATTGCAGCTGTTAAATTAGCAACACGGATGTTAAGTGAATCTGGCTTCCCCACTGACTTTGCTTGTCGGAAGTTTGGAAAAGGTGATCAAATGACCCCGGGACACGGCAACCGTCATAAATTTGAGTCAGCTGCCAAGCGCCTTAATTTTGATCACATGCTCCTGGGGGATGCTGCCAGTGTGAAAAACAGTCATAAGGCACTTTTTTTCCAGTGCTGTTGTAACCTTGAATGGTCACTAAACAAACCGTTGTAAGTTGAGGACTACCTGTATAGAAATCACATAAATAACTCAACCAATTATTTGACTTGAAGTAGAGATACAATGTTTTATATTGCAAGCACAACGCAGGAGTGGGGAGAGAAGTTTTCGCCTTGCCCGCTTTCCCCTACAATAAATGCTTTTGTAAAAGGAAATGAGTAGTTGCTTCAACTCTCTCTGGTTCTTCCATTATTTTTCCAAAAAATCCAGTCCCAGCAGGGAGAAGGGTTCACACTGCGAGGCCCTGCCTCAAATTCTGTCCTCAGGAAACAAGTGGGGGCCAACCTGGCACCTGCCTTCCCTTCCCCTTGGAGAGGGGACCAGCCCTCCCCTCTTCCACACCCTCACCTTGGTTTGTTCGTTGCAGCTGCTCTCCTTGAGTGCACCTGCGTCCTTGGCCGAGTCCCCAAGCAGTCGCTGCCGTAGCTCAGCTAAACATCCCAAGGCAGCAATTACATCGGAGGAGCCAAGGAGCTGGCGAGCACGGTCCTGCCACATAATGGCACGCTCGGTCAAGCACTGGAGGGCTTCTCCCTCGGGCAGCCGGACAGGAAGTTTCTGCAAAGCCACCAGCAAAGCCAGGATTGTCTCCAGGCGGGGCCGGCGGGACCGCTGGCATAGAGGACACAGGAATTTGGCTTCCCACTCCCACCATGCCGGAGAAGGCCGGGGGTTGCCCAGGTGAGGCCAAGCTGCACAGGTAGTGTGGAACCAGTCCTGACACAGTTCACACTGCAACATCGCAGGGCTGGGAGGCTGGGAACACACACAGTACTGGATCCCAGAAGGACTCTGCAGGGATGGCACAGGCTTCTGGGTATTTGACTGGCGTAGGCGTAGGATCCCTGCTTTCTCCTTCTGTTCGCCTTCTTTGAAGACCAAGATCTGCCGGCATAAGATGAATGGTTGTGATTCTCTGGGTGCTTTTGAAAAACCCAACAAAGCTTACACTACCTTTCCCTGTATTATATTGTTTGGTGTATTGCGAGCTGCATGGCATCGAGTAAAAAACTCCTATCAAGCAATTAACGATCAGCAAGTTCTGTCACCTCAACTCCCAATTCTTCCATCTGCGTGATTCTCCTAACAACAATCTCTCCTCGGTGTGTAGTTTTGCCTCAATCCTTCAAAGGCTTACAGATAGTTCTTGCAAAATGTTTAGCTGAATTCTCCCCTCACCAGTACCTACAGCTTGACCGTTTTAACCAGGTTAAGAGCATTTTGTCTCGAGATGGCCAATCTGGCTAAGCTAGAATAACGCGACCAAGAATAAAAAGCCCTGTGCTGCATTAGTCACAGCAACACCCCTGTGTTTCCTAAGCCAGCTACTCACAACAGAGCCAGGGTCCCTGAGGTCCTGTGCGGAGAGGCCCAGTCTCTCTGTGTCTGAATTGTAGAGGCCTGGCTCCTTCTCCCGCTGCCATTTCATGCGTTTGACGCTATCGGAGTCAGCATCAGCACACGGGCACAGCACCTGACCGAAAGACATTGAAGAATGAAGCCTTTTGCCTCTGAGGGGAGGCTTTAAATCCCCACCGTTAGCAGCTCAAAAAGCACCCGCTAACCTCAAGCAACGTGTAACAGGAGTTCTTTTTGAGAAAGGTCTTGGAGGCCTTTTCCCGCCAGGAATGTGCAGTAGCTACTTGTACTTCCAAGTGATGCAATTCCTCCAAGTGCACTGGCAAATCTCTCCCCACGGCCACAAGGCCCTCCAGGTCATCCAGGCAGGGATAATGGTCTCCATTCTGTGAAGAGGACACAGCATAGACTGGAGTACTCTAGAGTTGAAGCAGCAAGCTCACGTTCCACTGCTCCCAGCCCAGGGCTACAGCCCACCTGGATCTCTTCCACATCAGCAATCCAAGCCTGTGCTTTAGACAGTGCCTCCTTGAGCGACAGGATATTGGGCAAGTGCACTGGGATGTTCTCTGCCTCCTTGATGATGGCCTCCAGCGTAGCTGGCAAATGCTTCTGCCTGCAAGACATCAGGCACGGGCAGGAAAATGAATTGTCGCGGGGCACCTCTACAAAGCAACGCCTGTCTAAATTGGCAGGAACCCTCCTCTAGGAGCACCAGGCTCCCCACGATTTAAGCTTACCTAGCCTCCAGGCACATTTGCGCTTTTTCCTCCCAACGCTGAGCAATAGTGAGCAACTCCTGCAACTCAGCCATCGCCTTATCCACAGCAGGACTGGGGGCCACTCCACAGCCAGAGGTGATGAGGGCTCTCATGACAGACAGCGTAACCTTATCCTGGGGTGAACGCAGAGTCTGCTTCACCTCCTCCAGCCAGACTGCCTGCTGCACCTGCCTCTCTAGCAGCTCCATCTCTGGCACCTCCACCCCTAACCGTGTTCCTTGTGCCAGCAGTTTGTGCAACTCTGGGGAATTGCCTGAAAGATCTTGTAGGGCCTCTTGAACTTCCACCTGGAAAGCTTCCACCTTCTCCAACACGTCCTAGAAAAGGACACATGGCAATCACAGCCAACCCACCTGTGCAACCAGTGTGCCACCCAGACATCGTGCTAATTCTTCCCTTTATTGGGATTATCGACAATTGTGCCATAACCCTCCGTTGCTCACCTGGACCTCCTTTATCTGGTGCATGACACAGGGCAAGTTTGTCATTTGCTCTAGGAAGGCACGTAATTCCTCTACCGTCATATGGACCGATGACTCTCTGTAAGTGAGGAGGAAAAAAGCGGAGCATGCTTCATTATAATTCCAGAAAATAAATCTCAAAAACAGCTTGACAAGAAAATACCAAACAGATAAAGAGAACCTCATTAAATATGAGAAAGGACTTCCTGAAAGTATAATTACCTACCAGAAAGCAAAAGCAAGAAAGATACCGTTTCTCTAACAATACGGCCTCCCCCAATAGGAAGTCCCAGCATGTTTTATAGGCATGAAATGAAATTAAGCCCCTCCCCCCAAATTAAGGCCTATATTAAAACATGCGAAATGGGGGGGGGAGAATGGTGGTTGGGGGGCTTGCCGTTAGGAAGTGCTTTTGTTGCACACCCGGATATGGTGCTGCCTGCGTTGACCCCGATACAAAGTGCCCCACCAACGCCGAGGTCAACATCCAAGCCGTCGCTGCCCGCCTGCCCAAAGATGCAAGGGGGGGGGGGCGAATTAAGTCACCCCTGAAAAGACAGCCTAGCCATTTTGGGGGGGCTCAAAAAAAAAAAAAAAGACCCAGCCTTATTATATGAGAAACATGGTAGTCTAAAAAGGGGGTAAAAGGCTTCACACGATGAGTTAAAAGGAAAGGATTCAATGGGGCATCTTGCCTTATCAATTCAATTCTACTTAATTCTACCGACTCTTTGCACTCACTCTGTTTCTTGGATACTTATCAGACCCAGGGCCTCTGAGACACACTTCTCTGCTTCACTCAAACAGGTTTTGAGCCGATGAAGAAGTTCATTCTCAGGGAAGTTCCTCTCACGTGCCTCCGATTCCAGGGCACGCAACTCCTCCAAGGCTGTAGAAAGCACAGAACACTGTGGCACCCAGACCCATCGGATTGGTCCAGCTGTACGAGCTACTCTCAACTCCCCGGGAGAAGCAAGGCTCTTTTTATCAATGGCAGCCATCTGGCCCTCAGTTGCTTCATTATTTCCTCCTACTCCAGACTCAGTAGTTCCCGTTCACCCAAAAGCCCCTTCTAGGACTCAGTGCTGCCGTCTCCACTCCCATTCTCCCAAACTTTTAATCCAATAAGGATTCAGGTTCTCCTCACAACATGCCTGAACAAATCTGATAGTGATTACATGGGGCCTCAAGGTATATGCGCATTTCCTCCACTAAAGCCTCATGGATTTACTTCTTAAAAGACCCCGGAACCAAGGAGCACAAGGGTGGGACGACCTACTTCTTTTGCGTCCATCTTCCACTTCCAAAGCAATGCGAACTTTGTTGGCCCATGTGTCAAAGCATTCAGCCCGGACCTTCAATTTATGTAACATGGCTGGGAGTTCATCCAGAGTATACCGATACCTGAATGAGGAAGAACATTCAAGGCAGAAAAACGTAAACGTACTTCAGTACATTTTTCACAACATTAGCTTGTATTTGTATGTATTAAGCTATACAGGTGGCCCTCGACTTTCAACAGTTCATTTAGTGACCATTTAACATTACAACGGCATTCAACAGAGAGACTTAGGACCATTTTTTTTACACTTACGACCACTGTAGCATCCCAATGATCATGGGATCAAATTTCAGACGCTTGGCAACTGGTTCATATTTATGACGGTTGCAGTGTCCTGAGGTCATGTTGATCCCCTTTTGCAGCCTTCTGACCACCAAAGTTAATGGGGAAGCCAGGTTCACTTCACCACATTCCTAACTTTTAACAACTGCAGTGATTCACTTTAACAACTATGGCAAGAAACATAATAAAATAGGGCAAAACTCACAACAACTGTCTCACTTAGCGATAGAAATTTCGGGCTCTATTGGGGTTGTTACATGAAAGAACCACTAGGACAGCTCTTCCCCAATTACTCTGGACCAACTTGATTAAGGAGGATGGTTCTCTTTAACTAGCCCACTATGAATAAAGGGCACTCCTGTAGTCTCAGGAGCTCTTGAGTTTACCCATGGTCTTCTTGTGGGCTGAAGACTGCAACCGGCTCAGAATTTTATTGTGGGGATGGGAAACACAATATACAAGGAAGATCGTGCTTGTAGATTGAAAATTATCAATATGCTAATGATGCTCAGTTACAACTCTCTTCTAGGCTGATGCCACTGAGGTTCTTTCTCAGTGGATGAAGGTTGAGGAGGTCTGGAATGGGAATATAGTTTTCAATTTAACCAAGCAAAATATTGCTGCTGTGAGTTTTAAGAATCTCCTGACCTTCGGGGATTCTTTACCTCTTGTCCTGGGTAGGGTTACACTGCCTCAAAAAAAAAAAAGAAAAAAAAACTACTGCTGCACAATGTACTGGCCTCTTTGATCCTCAACTCGTGCCAAGGTGGCAGCCACGGGTAGATGATTTTTGCATAACTCCTCTTACACATCAATTGCACCCGTTTCTGGAATGGGAGGCTTGCTCATGGTCAATTCATGCCCTGGGTTATTCATATTTGGGTTACTGCATTGCACTCTACACGAGGCCATCCCTGAAAATCACCTGGAATCTGCAAATGGTCTTAAGTGCAACAATGTAAATAGGTATGGCACACGTTAGTACAGGGGTCCCCGACCCCCACATCCATGGATTGGCAGCGGGCTGCGGCATGCCAGAAACTGGGTCATGCAGACAAGCAAAGCCGCATCCATGGGATGCAGGCAGCACATGAAATCATAGCTCCTCTGGTCTGTGGAAAAAAAACCCTCTCCATGGAAGCGTCCCTGGTGCCCAAAAGGTTGGGGCCCCTGCCTTAGTAGATGCACTAGGTTTGCAAGCTGCACTGTCTTGCTATCATAAGCGGAGCATAATTCAGGGTACGGGTTATCTCCGATGAAGCCTTCACTGCATAGGACTGGGTTCTATTTATGGGATCCAGCAGGTTCAGATCCCTTCTATGAAGCAATATCTCCTGACAGAACCCAGCAGGTAGGTGTTCTCTGTTGCAGTGCCTATCCTGTGATAAATGTTTCCTCCATGGTTCAAATGAACTCCACCCAGAGCCCAGGATGAGCCTCTTCAGAGAGATCCTACATGAGATATGTGCTGGTTAATCTCAGTTAATGCCACTGTTTTGTTATTCAAATTGTACTCCTTTCCATTCTATGCTTATCGTATTGTACTGTATTTTCTAGTTCCTTTTTTTATGGTCCTACAAATTGTAAGTCATCCTAAGTACTGTTTGGTGAAAGGCAGCCATATAAATCTAACCCAATAAGTGACTATATTTTAACTTAAGATGACTCATTCGTGGAACAGCCCATGTTTCTACTCACCTGAGGTATTGCCTGCTACTCGGGCACTTGCAGAGGTCATTGATGTGGTAAAGGCAGACAAGACAATTTGGACAATCGTTGCAAGCCAGCGCTGACAGAAAACAGGTTGTCTTGCATTTGTCACATTGGCGCTCATCATCTGGAAGCAACTCAAACGCCTCTCGCTCTGCTTCAGTGATTCCCTGGGGCAGCAGAGAAAATCAATGAGCAGCTTGATCTTTCCCAACTAATCCTGGATTCTGACAGTATTCACACTTGCCATCTCAACCCACCTTGTCAAGAAGAGCCTTTCGCAATTTACGCTCCTCCTGGACCAAGATAAACATCTCCTTGTGTACAGCAGCAGCCAAGTTCAAGTCCAACTTTTCAGGGCAAGCAGCCATTTTGCAGATAAGCTCTTCATGAGAGAAGACACAGTAACGGCGAAGGCGTCGATAGTGCTCAATGCACTGGCGACCAGCTGGCAACTGAATATGAGGCAGAGGGGAAAAGGGAAATCTAGAAGTATATGAAGAATTTTGGTCCCAATGCACAACTTTTACAGCTGAGAACTATGAACTGCAAACCTGATTCTCCATTCTTGACTCCTCTTCTGTGTCACCACTGTGGCCTTTTAAAGAATTAGGAAAGCAGACACAAGAAATTCCTGCTGGTTATAAACTTACCCAATCAGCAGTGCAAAAGTTAACTGCTTCAGCAAAGTTGTAGCCCTGATTGAAGCCACTGTGATAAGCTCTAGGAAAGGTAATGACAAACTCTCCAGCACACTGATTGGTCCGGACGACCTATCGATGCAAGAAAAGAGAAACCCTGAGAGTAGGGACTATACCTAGAGAAGGAAAAGGTACACCCAAGCATGTAAAGGTGACTCACCGGGACGCCATGGGCCATGAGTGTATTAGGGTTCATGAGTGTCACCAACTGGTGCAACAGGTCTGGCTGGCTCTCAAAAAGCTCTGGGGTCAATTTCTTCATAACATCTTCCAGATGTTCAGCTGCAAAGGATGGGACCCCATACCAAGTCTTAGGTTCACCCCTAGAAAAATAAGCTTGTCAGAGAATACTGTCCAAAAAAGGGAGAGAAAATCGAAACACTGTGACAGGAAGATAATGGGATGATTCTTTTTTAACATATTTTTTTTCTGTAATTGAGAGTTCAATTACACTCCCCTTAAATCAAAAGGGAGACATTTTTTGCAATTCGGAGCCATACTTAAAAGGTCTCAAGGGCTTGCCACCAAATGACAGGAATGCAATAAGGGTCATTAAGGAATATAGATGTGATGCTGAAGAACCACATACTTTAAAAGGTCCAGTCATGTAATGCTGTACAAAATGTCATTAAATACAAACTTTCCTTTATTAGTCTTCTCTTTCAATTTTTCTCTTGTACAAATAAAAAAATAACTGCCGTTTTGAAGTCTAACAATAACAACTGTTATGCTATTTTCATTTGTGGAACCAGTTATCACAACAGGTAGTCCTCGACTTACCACAACTGAGCCCAAAATTTCTGCTGTTAAGCAATACAGTTGTTAAATGAGCTTTGCCCCATTTTATGCTTTTTCTTCTGTTAACAGCTGTTAAGGGGACGATCTGACCCTGGGACACTGCAACGGTCATAAATATGAGCCAGTTGCCGAGAATTTGAATTTTGATCACGTGACCATGGGGATGCTGCAATAGTCACTGAGTGTGAAAAACTATCCTTAGGTCGCTTTTTCCAGTGCTGTCCTCACTTTGGTCACTAAGCAAACCGTTGTAAGTGGAGGACTACCGGCACTTCACTATCCAAAAGCTGCTCTAGATGGCAGGTTCATTTCCCTCCCTCCTGAAGTCTCACCAGTGGAGGTAGTTAATAGAGTAACTCCAGTGATCCTCAATGTGCCAGCAGAAAGCAGAGAAGACCATGCCCACGTAGAGCCATGGTACCTTCATGCCCGAAATGTCAGCATTGATGTGGCATAGCACCGACTGCTTCAGCACTGGCATCACGTTGAGGTTCCAGCCGCTGGCTGCATACTCCTGACAAGGCAAGGCAAGGCAAGGGATAAGGAAGAAGGTGGGCCCAACCACAACCGGTCAGCCTTGAGGGGCAGAACAAGAACCTCCAAACATGGGTGAAGGGGACATACTTCCTCCTCTGGAGACAGCTGCCTTTTGCCATCATTGATGGGGAAACCACTTCCAAATTCTTTGGAATGAATGTCAGCCCCATATTCCACCGTCACATCTTCCTCAATGCTATTCACCAAGCGCCAGAACTCCTTTTCTACAAGCTCTGTTGGCACCATCTGGGGGAAGGAAGTAGGAGAGGCTTGTCAGGATCAGGGACTCTACATCCTCAGTTACAGGATATTAGAAACACAGTCTGATGAAATTGCCAACAAGGGGATGTAAGGTGGAGGTTAAGAACAAAAAAGGATCCTGATTCCACTCCACACTTAACCATAAGCGATTTATCACTTCCGGTCACTCCACCCATCTCACATGGCTACTGCCGATCAAATGAAGAGATTGTTGTGTGTAAAGACCTTGAGTGTCTCTGGAGGAAAGGTGGGACATTAACACAATAAAGCAAACCACGGTTGGCACTATTTGTCTGTGCTCACAGCAAAAGAAGCAGAACTCACGTGGACTGGCATGTTGAAGTAGTCGGCCTTGAAAGAATCAGCCATCTCTCCAAAGCTCTGTAGTGTGTATTCCCGAGTGGCCTGCTCAAAGCCAAAAGCCTCTGGGGGACGCTTACACTCCTGGGAAAGGAAAAAAACAGGGAAAATGTGAGAGGATTCACAAGTAAGGAATTATTTTTGCCTACCTGTACTATAACAAACGGAGCCCATATCATGCTTTTGAATTAATTGTGTGATCAATAGCTCAAATCTCATTCTCGGATCTCTCCGTAGCAGATCAAGCTCAAACCCAGATGACCTGGTGAGGCAAGGATGTTCCCCTGAGTTCGTCAAGGGCAAAACAAGCTTTCTTACCGCCATGACACATTTGGGACATCTCCAGACACCTTTAGGAATCTCAGGTAAAGGAGGCAAGAGGCAGAAGATGTGATAGTTGTCATCACAGCCGTCACATAACAACAGCTTGTCATCCTCATCTCCCCGTGTACATATCCGACAAACGTAAGATTCAATCTAAAAGAGGAGCAAGCGTAAGAAATGCTGTTTTACACACAAAAGCAAACAGAGATTGTTTTGTTCAGCATTTTTTGAGAGTTGCCTTCAGGTATTGAGGCCAAATGACCATCGACAGGGGTTTTAAATATACCCAATGATTTCTTTTTTCAGGCAATGACTATTTCAAAGAAGGACAAGAAGCAAAAATTCGGCAGAACTATTATTTCCTTTCATGCATTTTTTAAAGGAGGCAGAAGGTTGTGGTGTTATCACCGAGCTCACAATTGCCAGCTAATCATTTTCATTGGCCAGTCTATACAACTGATAATGATTTGGGGGGGGGGGGGTGTTTACAAAAAAAAAACCCCCAGAGAGACAGAGCAGAACCTAACCGAAGTAGAACACCAACTTACAAACTGAGTGTTGTGATTGCGACGGAGGCGCATGGTCATCTTGGTGCACGGTTCTGGACTGTGTCTCAACTCTTCCTTCATATTTGCATAGCCTCGGGGTAAAGTGGGTTCCAGCTTCACCTCGGAAACAGGGGCTTCCTCTTTTACGATCACCGTCGGGGGGCACTCAGGCATCTCCTTGTCTATATGGGCATTAGGAAGACATGGACTTAGAACTGAGAGAACACACTTCTCCTTGGGCTCCCTGACTGTGGGGCCATGGCCCTCCATTCCCACCTTTCTTGCGCATGTTCTTGTCCTTGGCTACAAGCCCCAGGCCCAGCATTTTAGGTCCAGCGCCATAAATCTGCAGCTTCTTCAATTCTGGATTCTTCTCAATGTCTTCCTCTGTTGGCTCTGGCTGCAAGGAAGATACAGTTAGGACAGAGTGACAATATGAAGCCGTGAATATTAAAATCGTGTTCCAAAGATTCTTAGAAAGCAGCAGCAGCAGCAGCAGCAGCAGAGGGAGGAAAAAGAACGAACAATATAAATTGAATCCCGGGGAAAGGAGAACTAATTTCAGAAAGATAACTGGTTAATGATAGACATTGCTGTGGTCGTGACCGAATACCTATGACAGAAATATTGTCTTGTTTTGGAGCAAGCCTCTGGCTAGGTACACCAACGAGGTGAGACTTTCCTAGAATGCACGGCACACCGTAATAAAACAATGCACGTGGAGGCATTTAAGCCACGTCTCCTGCTGGACAGAGTCTGAGGTTTCTAGCAACGAAGCAGGATAAATAAATGGAGCGAAAGAGAGACAGCAGAGGTGGACAGAACAGGAACAGTACCCATGCTTGATGTGCTTGCTCAGGTAACAGAGCTGGGGAACTCGCAGATTCAGGGTATGAGTCGGATTCCTGCAAGAGGGCGACAAAATGTGTGGGGTGTGGGGATCAACGAGGCTCTAGGAACGGTAGAAAGGGCATCAAGAGAAATAAAAGGGGAAATCATTATTGGATCATAATGAAGAAGCTGGAGTTGCTAAGAATGGAGTGGCGTATAAATGTAATGAATTAAATTATTAGTTTTATTATTAAAAGTATAAGGACTATGGTGTTTGACAACAAGAGCTAACAAATGGAAGCATTACAATAAATACAGAAGGCATGGGATTTAGGACTTTCAAAATAGTCAACATTTTAAAGACAAGAAAAAGCACAATGACGTTTTATTTCCTATTTTAGAGAGGAAGAACAGAAGTACGAGGGAATTCGAGAACAAAGAAAAACTTGAAAAATAACTTTGCATATTGACTTTCCTCCCTTTAACATAAATCAAAGAGTTTGGTCAAGCTTTTCAGTAAAAGCTTTTGTAGAAAAGATTGGGACTCTAATTCACTTTCATGATTTGGGGCATGGAATGATGGAATCAGGGGCTACAAGCTAAGTTTCAGATTTTATGGTGAGGATGCACCACCCCCCTCAGACTTTTACTGGAAGTACATGTGGAGACTAAGCTCCAGCTGCACATTCCTAGCACGAGACTTGACGTTCTACTAAACCTTGAAAAACTGCTTACTAATTGTTTGGAATAATTAAACAAAAGGCAAGACTATATCTTTATCTGATCTTTGAAGGCCTATGTCTGCATCCTTGAATTTTATCAAAAGACTTTTACCCATTGAATATATAATTACAAGATTCAATGTTTCCTTAAACGGATGCAAAGGGTGGTTTTTTCCTTTAAAAACAAATACAGACACAGCCATAAGCTCTTACATTCTCCAAACATTTGATGAATAGCAACTAATCAAAAAGGCTTACAACTAAATTGTTAAACCATAAATATGAGTAAGAAAGGGGAAACAGCATCCATTATGCAAAAAAAAAACCTTTATACATAATTCCAGGCTTTAATCCACCATGATGTTACTTAAGTTTGTGAAAATCAATTTGATCCTAAAGTGAAATGCCAGGTGCCACGTGACAAAATCTTGTTTTGATTTACATTTAATATGGAATTATTTATATTTATTCAATTTTTATATCACTGACCGATGAAGCCTTTTTGTAATTAAGAAAATCAAACAAACAAAACGTAAGTTAAAACCAAAAACATTGAATGTGTATTAATTCTTCAACAATTAAAAACCTATTGAAAAATACTGGTTTTAAATGCCTTTTTAACAAAACAATGAAGAGGTTAGTCCTTCCATTCAATAGTGAGCACGTTATAGATTTGGAGTGGTGGACTTCCAGGGAAGAAATGGCAAACTGAAGGAAAGGACTTTGGGTTGCCCACAAGTACTCCAGATAGTTTTACTCCTTCCAAGGAGACTGTATGACAACAGGCTCTGATGGCTTTAGAAGATATGGGAATAGCTATCTTCCTCAACTCAGGGATGGTGCCTTTGAAAGGACACTATGTTCACATACTTGCTGTTGTTTTGAATATTTAAAAATATATGATAAGATACAATTTTGAAGGTTGAATACTAGAGGAAACCCAAGAGAATTAAATATTATAATCAAAGGAAAAGAGACTAAAATCTGACTTACTAATAGGGAATGGAGCAAAATATGGTACTTTAACACTGGATGTATTAGAAGATACTTGTGAACAAGGGATCCAGAAGTTAATTTTAAGAATGTCTGTCTCCATAGACAGACTTTGTTTAAAATATGTTATTTTACTGGATGGGACTGAGACTAATTTGAAAGTAATAATGTGGAAGATGGTACACTGGATATATAAATGAAATTGATTGTCTTAACAAACCAAAAATGCAATCTGGATGACTTTTTCTTATGTTGAACTTACAAAATAAAGTTTTGTTCAAGTTCTGAAAATTTTTATGAGAAGGGACAAAGAAAAACTTTGAACTTGATCTCTTCTAAGAGATCAAGTTCTAGGACATTGTTTAAGGGAACTGAGGATCAAGATTATTAACAGTAACAGGAAAGAATATAAAGTTGGTTGTCTGATTAAGGTTAAAATAGATATGGTTTTAAATATTTGTTTACAGATTAAAGATATGGAAGAGACCACTGTTATATATTAAGAAGTAATAAGTTACCAAAAAAATTTCTTTTGCCACAAAAGGGCTTGTCATTTCTTTATTCATCTCTTTAAAACATTTTTTTCTATTTTTCTTTTTTTTTATCCCTGCACTTTCTATTTTTTCTTTTTGTTTATTTTCTCATTCATATTAGTTTTTATCTTTTTAATTGTAATACACAGTAAAACTTACTTTTGAAAAATGGTTTGGAGAGCTACACCATTGAACTTAACCCTCAAGTCACCATGACAGAAAAGATGAATACTATGCAAATGTCTTCAGATAATTTCAGGGAGCGGGAGGATCATACTAAACCATGGGACAAACTACATGAAATATATTTAAAATGATTACACCTTATATATTTGAAAACTATCCTGTTGCATTTAAAATCATAATTTGGGAGAAACCAAAGAAGATTCCCAGTGGCCAGTTTCTAAAATTGAGGAAGGAGGTATAAGATGTGCTCTTGGGAGACAGGGGTTGCATACATGTGGCCTAATAATTAACATTCTAGCAGGATGAAACTTCTTTGACATTTAAATGGTTCTACCCCAAACCTGAGGGAAAATAACGCTTTCCATTGAGTCAGAGCACAGGGTGTGTACAATTGCCCTCAGAATTATGAACTGGTCCAACTGAAAACAAAATTGTAATTAGGGTAGGTGTATGAGACACTCACCTCCTGCTGCAGTCGCTTGGCCCGCCGCCCATAGCTGTTGAACTTGGAAGGCTGCACTGACTGGCGCAACGGGATGCTATGAGGCTTATACTCTTTGTCTTTCTCTTCATTATCAAATGGGTGAGTATTGCACTGCTGGGAGAAAGGAATAGCATGAAGACTGCTCCTGTTGCTCAGCACCGGGGATTAAAAAGCAAAGGCCTAACCCAACTATCCCGTGGCAGAACAAAAAGCATGATGAGTTTAGATATGATTTTCCTGGCTAGGCATGACCCCTGCCATCTTCCCTAGCAAGCTATTTTCTTCCCAGGGGAGGAAATAATGTCCAGGGGGAGTCTATTTAGAAAGAAGGGTTTTCTTGTACTCATGTACTACATCTGTGGAGGAAATGTAATATGAAGTTAAGTTACAGGAGAACTTTATACTCTGAGACCCAATACTCACCACCAGGTTAGCACCAGACTGGTACATTTCATATGGGTAGATAATACGCTCATAGTGGGAACGAAGGAGGGAACCAATATTCTTTCCGGATGGATAGGAAAGTCGCTGGGCCACCCGTGCCCACCGGCGATCCTTGCAAATGGCTTCGTATCCACCCTCCTCCATCACAATCTAAAAATACAAGAATATTGATAAAATACAAATTAACAGCTTGCAATCATATGAACGTATGCCTATTTAAATAAAGCACTTGATTTTCCTTATCCCCAGTTCCAAACTAAGACCAACAACTTATCAAGACCCATCAGTGGCATAGATGAATCTTCACTGAATCTGCCGGTGTCAGTTATTAACCCCATTAGCTTGAATAACTTTCTCTAAAATTCTTTTTGGGAAGAATGTAATTATAACTTACTTTACTCAAGCTGTACAAATCAAGGATACGCCTCTCTACATTGGGAATTTTCAGTGCAGAACCTTGAATTTCCCAGAACTTTGCAATCTGGTCTAAATAGTTCAGTTTTACTCTGGTCTGTGCCTGGTAATGGAATAAATTGAGGTTAGCCTCTCTCAAGCCAGTAACATGTAACAGCTTCCCATTTAACCATGCATCTTTCAAATATATCTTCATACCAGCAACACCCAATTTTAATGAAGTTGTAAACAGTATATATTCACAAACTGAACTGGTTTGGAATCGATTTCCTGTAACAGGAGCTTATACAGTTACACATTATTTATCCCACGGAAGTGTTTTCTTTGGCTGGAGGGGTAGGGGTGCGAAGAGGTGAGCAGGGCTGTACTGGTAGTGCTGAGCTGGCATGTACATACATATGCAGCTCAATTGCGAGTTGTGCTGTGTATACATACCCTTGCGCTGGCCTGCTGCTCACTTGAAACAAGTTGCACGCTCACATGTGTACTGGTCTGCAGCCCAGCTGCATAGGTCACAGCCTAGTAGTGGGTCGCAGCCCAGGAGTTGGGGACCCCTGGTCTAACATATAGTGGAGTCTCGGATTGTGACCGTAATCCGCTCCAGGATTTCAACCGCAACCCAATTTGTTCGTGACTGAAAGCACGACCATCTGTGCATCCGCGGACCAAAAAAACACTCCCAAAAATGGTGCCGAAGGGGAAATCGGCGTGGAAAGGGAATCTTTCCACGCCAATTTTGTGTGCCACCCAATTTTGGAATCGTGACCCGATTCAAAAATTGGGTGGATTTTTTGTTCGCCACCCGATTTGGTTGCAAACAGAAGCATTTGTGATCCGAGGTTCCACTGTACCTCAAAAGGATAATATTTGGAGGATAAAAATGGAGAAAAGGATTACAGGATATACTGCCCTGAGGAAAGGTAGGAAATTAATCAAACACGCAGGAATACATTCATCCTAAAAAGATGCTGAGCTTCCTCATGATCATTTTAACAGCAAATGGTTATTCATGGGGATGCAAATTTATTTAAGAGTACCAAGATACACACACTCATTTCATATAAATACAAGTCAAAAGGTTCATGAATACATTTTGCAAAAAATCCAGTCAAAAATATAAAAACCTGGATAATTAAACACATGAGGGGGGTCCTTTGTGTTCTCTGAGCTTGGCTGTTTTCTTGCAGACATTTTAGTAACTAAACTAGGTAACATCATCACTGTTAGATGAGTATCTAGAACTGATATTATCTAGTTTATATAATAAAATGTCTGCAAGAAAGCAACCAAGCTCAGAAAGTGCCAAGGACCCCTCATTTCAATCCTGAGAACTACTTTGAAATAAATCACAAAACCAACTTGACACAATTTTTGAAGGCAATTCTTTCAATGGCAGCCCAACACAACTGCTGGACAACAGTTGATTAAAACTAATGCATGTTATTTTTTTTCAGTATATACCACTATATTTTTATATTTATTATTTATTGGTACTCCTGATATCTTTTCTTGTAAAATTATTATTTAATTATCCTGTTAAATGTAAAGAAATGTGAATGGCATTACATTACAATTCTATCAAGTCTCCTACAAAGGACTCACCTCCAGTTCATTGAGCCTCTGTATCCGTGGAGTAAACCGGAAGTTGTCCACTTCCACAGCAAAGGGAGGTTGCCAGTCCTGAAAAAGAAATAGAAAGGTAACATAAGTATAATTCCAGCATCATACATTTTACCAGCTAGTAAGAATTAAACCAAAAATCTGCCCTCAGTCTGAAAACAGCCCTAGAGAATCAGAATTCAATTTCACAGTTAACAGAATATAAATCCAAGAGTGGATTACACAACTACAGGACAAACCAATGAAAGCTTTTAATTTTGCAATGAATGTGATATTCGGTACTGAAGAGAGACAGAGACTTAAGAAGGTAAAACTGACATTTGAAGGAAACATAGCGAACACCTAATAAAATAAGAGCACACTAAGCACTGCAAAGCGTTCATCTTTACTGTTTATATACAGGAAGCCTGAGAAAAAAGAAACGATAACTATTTAGATTAAACAATCTAAAATATTATATCCCGAGGCATTACACATTCAAAATCTACTGTTCTGGTACAAAGGAGTCACTTCAAAGATGGAGTAACTATCATCAAGAACAGTTGGAGACAGCAAGACAGAGAAAGGCCACTGAAGCAAGTTATTTGTCCATGTGTGAGAAAGACATGGTCTCAAAATAAACTTTACCAGAAGGGAGTCAAATTGACTATGCAAAATTTTGAGTTATAAAAGAAATCTAGATTCTAGATTTCTAGCATCACAGTTAGACCTGGTGAACTTCATGAATGTATATTCTTTCTCATATTTTTAGTGAAATATTAATTTGTACTAAAGTGAGTGATTGAGTTGGAAAAACCTTAGCTTCTCAATTTAAGAGCATTTTCACTTGGTGGTAAATTGTATGTCAAAAGCAAAAATATGTCAGAATTATATTTCCTTTTGTTAGACACACTGAAGTAAATTCACTGCCTAAATCAAAATAAATTAGGAAATGATAAACAGTGCATCTTAGAACTTTCAAGAGAAGGGAAAAAATGAAATATTGCTAACAGGATAATACTTTAGCATTATAATGCTTAAGACTCACACCAGCAAGACAGGTTCTCCTCCAACTGAATTGTGACAGCAGCTTTGGATTTGGAGGCTGCAGACTAACCTGAACTATAATTTACAGCCTACAGAAAAAAGCAAGATTCATTTAAACACTCCATATGCACTGGGTAAGCAGATGCTAATATTTTGCTGCTCTAATTAAAAATATCACAATGACTTCTCAATGAGGATTAAAAAGATTGGCAGAAGTGTTTTTTTTAATTGGGGCCAGAGAGCAAGAGATCTGCTTCAGCATCTTCTGTACTGTAACCATACAAAAGAAAACCAAGTTCCTCAAATATTTCCTAGTCTTTCTCTTGTTCCTTTTTAGACAAAGGCTTGGCAGCTGGCAGTCATATTAGATGATCTGTTATTATGAAATAATAAAAAATATTATTAAATGGATTTAAGAAATACAGCAGAAATAAAACTTGAAAAACCTCTTTCCTGCTATACTTAATTAGAACAGGGGTTTTTCTTTTCTTCTTCTTTTTGCCTGCAGCCAAGGCCTAGCTGTGGGGTGTAGAAGAAAATAAAAGAAAGAGGACACAGCCCATACAAGTTTTCCAGCTTGGTGAAAGAGCAAGCTGTTCAAAATGATAACAGCTACATGCCAACACAGGCACCACCAGTATCACAGATAAAAGCAATGTCCATGCACAAAACTATATAACTTGATTGTTCAAATCTCAAAACTCTTATGTGCCAACCATTCCAAAGAAACACAGTCCCTGTAGTATATAGTTTGCCCTATTTCCCATAATGCATTCAAATCTATAGTGGAGTGTTGACTATACCACACATTATATTTTTACATCACATCAACCGCTTTCAATACCTACATTCAACTAGGGAGCCACCTAAATGATTCAACCCTCATCAATTCCATAAATCAGTCTTTCCCAACTTGGTGTCCTTCAAATATACTGAACTACCACAATTTCTAGTCAGCAGGGCCTGCTATGTAACTTCTACCACCCACTCTATTTTGTCGTTGAACCAGGCCTGTGTTCAGCTATTCCTTTGAAGGCATCACAATAGTCTTATTCTTCCACAGAAACACTGCATTTGTATCAAAACTCACTCAATACTATGACTGTCTCCAGTAACAAATGATGGCAAGAACTCTTTCCCATCTAAAGACACACTGGTTCAAGTCTGTAACCCTCATCCTGGCACACAAGCTCTCCAATACATTTCCTTCCATCCAGTTCATTCTATTCACCAGAAGAGACATCTTTTCAAACAAACATCACCATCTCTAACTACCTGTGAATCACTCACACTTCCACCCAAATACTACTTCTGCTTGCCCACTGAGTGTTTCTCCTAAAACCCAACAGCCCTTTCTTTCCCTGGTACTTACGGCGGGAGGGCGGATTTTGCAGATACCACTTTTTTCTGCGATGGGTCGGATCTTGGCAATGTAGCCCAGCGGATCGCTGAATTCGGCCCAGGTGGGCTCAAAGACAGGACACTCGGGTGGCGGCAAAAAGTCCTCGGGAGGCAAGAGGGGGTCGGGATCTCCAGCCCAGGACGGGCCGCGGTCCATCCACTCGCCGGGCTCTGCGCCCCACAAGCCGCGCTCCGCCTGCTCTGACGCTCGAGGCGGTCGGAGGGTTCGATCAGCCCGGGGAGCCCCCTCGCCCTGTTCGGCCTTGTCACTCCGGGGAGCCCGCTCACCCTTCACAGTCCGTTCACTCTTCTCCATCCTGGAGCCGCGCTCTCCCCAGTCCCCATGTTCTCCCTTCTCCCCCGAAAGGCCACGTTCCCCCTTCGAGCCCCGGCTCCCCCTCTCCCCACGGGACACCCAGTCGCCCTGATCCCCGAGGGGGCCCTTCTCCCCCCAGACCCCTTGATCTGACCCTTCGCTCTGCTCCACCTCCTCCTCTCTGGACTCCATACCCTCCACCGGCTCCTTTGCTCTCTGGGAGGCCCCTCAGGGGGCCATGCCCGGCCCCTCCTCCTCCTCCTCGCTCGAGCACCAGGCCTAACGGGCGGGGGAACAAGGCCGGTCAGCCGGAGCTTTTCTCCCCGGTGCCCGGTTGCTCAGCTTTGCCCCTCCTCCTCTCTGGAACCTCCCGGCACTTTTCCGGGCCCGGAGTCCCGCTTGTTCTCTCCCCTCCCTAAATTCAAGGCCTGCCGGGTCCTCTCGACCTGGCAGCCGCCGCCATTTTGGACTTTCTCAATATCCTCCACAGCCGCTGCCCATCAACAACAAAACGTCTTCCTCCGCCAGCCTCCGAAGATTCAAAGGAACCTCTTGGAAACGTCACCACACCGGGCTACAGTACTCTTTCCGATACGAAGACTGCAACTTCTAAGTCTCATCAAAGACCGCTGATTTAGGCTGGAAGCTTTAGAAACAAAATCAAGCCAAATAAAAAAGTCCCTCAGGGCCGAGGCGGAAGGATACAACTAACAAGAGAATGTAATCGCTGGAACTTCTTGCGCACGTTTAAAGGGCCGCACCGCGCCTGCGCCAGACGACAGAAAACAGGAAGAGGAGGAGGGGGTGGGAGGAAGATAAGAAGAATTGAATGGGCGGAGTTAGTCATAACACCGCCTATTCGGTTGTCAGAACTACAGCGGGAGCCTCATAGCTGTCAATTGGTTTGGCTCAATTCAGACTTCTCGTCAGTGATGCCATTTGATCTTATCTGTGTAGTTTGTGATCTATCCGTGGCAAGGCTAACGGTTGAAGTCTCGCTCCTTTAAGTCTATTGTTAAATTCACTTTGTTATAGTAGCAGGTTTATTTAATTTAGTTTTGGATTTCAGCTTTCCAAATACTGCTGACTGATGGATTATGGGAAATAAAGTCTAACATCTAGATTGATGAAGACTGCTCTATATTGAATATACTATTGCTCACAGGTGATTATCCAAAATCTTTATGCAACAATGTTTTATTAATATCAATTAAAATTATAATGGGGTAGAATGAAAAACATTGTTGCTGAGAGTTGATAAAAGTCTATAGCAGGCTGCACTCAGATTATGTTTTGAAGAGCCTTTGGACATGTAAAATGAGACATAGGTTACAGAGGCAGTATTAAACTGTACAAAAAATTCCACAAACTTTTGTGTAAGGAAGAAACAATCTGAACCGAATATTTCCTCAAATGAAAATAGTTATACCTGGTACATTACACGTAATTTAATGTTTACTAGGGTAAAAGTGAATAGTAATATGCAAGTATATATTCTACCATAGTCCACAACTTACAACCTTTTGTTTAGTGACTGTTCAAAGTTACAACAGCACTGAAAAAAGTGACTTACAAACAATCCTCATTCTTACTATTGTTACAGCATCCCATGGTCATATGATCAAAATATGGGTATTTGGTAACTGGCATATAGGTAAGAGCTTCCTTGAGTGATGTGATCACCATTTGCAGCCTTCCCAGCTGACTTCTGACAAGAAAAGTCCTTGGGGGAAGTCATATTCATTTGACAACTGCATGATTCATTTAGCACTGCAGTGATTTGCTTTACGACAAAAAGGTAAAAAAGGTCATAAAACTCACATAACAACCATCTTGATTAGCAACAGACATTCTGATCTCAATTGTGGTTGTAGATCAATAACTGTATAGTATCATGTTACTCCTTTGGAGAGTAAGTAACATGTAAGATCCAAAAAAGGTATAGAAAGCAGCAAGTAAAAGTAAGTACAAGCAGTCCTCAATTTATGACCATAATAAAGCCTGGCAATTACAGTCATAAATCATGAGGTTCGTAAAGCAGGTCATCATGTGAATGGACCCAATTTAAAAACCTTTTTTGTGACAGTCACTGAGTGAACCCTATGGTCATTAAATGAACCCATTGTTCATTATGGGACCTTTTTTCCCCCAGAACCTAGAAATAAATGTCCCTTTCCAGAAAAAAACATAAATAGCAGTCATGGGGGTTACTTCAAACAGTCATAAATGCAGATTTGTTGCCAAATATCCTAAATGTGGTCTCACTACTAGAGTCAGGCATCATAACTTCAGAATCAGGTCATAAGTACTTTTTGGGGGGGTGGGGGGTGGGGGGGATAGCTAGAAGGACATGTGAGAAAAGGAAAGCTAGCAAAAATTAGTTTATATTCAGCACATTTCACTTTAATTCCCTATCTTTGTAAACCATGCTATCTTCCAATACATCTGTACCAGTTTGTATCTTGCCAGTATACAGCTTCCCATCTCTTTTGGGGTTTCTCAAGGTATTTATCTAGTAAATATGATTAACTGTGTAATTTGGCCCACAACTACTTTTTATTGCACTCTTTTCTGCTGGATTTGCTGCAACTTTTCTGCTGACTGGCAAATTAGTCTAGGCCTGGAGTACCAGATCTGCGCTGAAAACCTCCAAACACCGGAAGAGTGGTACAAGAAACATCATCTTTATGGTCATGCACATTAATGCAAGCCAGGCCTGGCATCCTTAATTAGTTGTTGCCTACCAAGAGAAGAAAAACCTTGAATCTTCCAGCCATGCCTAAAATCTTCCCCTCTTTGTGTCCCTGTTAATGCAGGAGAAGCTCTGCTAGGAGGCCACTCCTGAATGTAGCCTCATTTTCCTGGAGGACTAATGGTGGCTTAACCAAAAGAGTTGCTTTTCAGAGTGAGATGGGCAGCGCATAAATGTAATAAATAATAATAATCTGCCCCATTACACCGGATTGAGATGTCACGCTGGGTTATGCTTAAGGTAAACAAATCAAAATCAAGCTTAGATGTCACACTAAATGTGGCCCCAAGAGGTTTAGGGTTTAATGTGAATCACTGATTGCATCTATATGTTATGCAAAGCTATAGTTTATTTTAACCATGTTGTATTGAATAAGCCACAGTAGTTAAGGTAACACATAGTTAACTTGTTTAAACTATGTCTTAGGTGGATTTAAAGATATGGGGTGGCAGCATTGGTTTCCTGAGAATAAAGGCTGATCCTCCATAGTATACAAACAATATGGATTTCTCCAACCCATATTTAGTGTGTTATTTGTATTTTCCCCAGGCAAACACTCTTCTCTCAACAAAGATGAGACCCATCAGAAAGAGAAGGCACCATATAGATTCCATTGCTGTCATAAGTAAGTCAATTTGGGAAGAAAATATTCTTAGTGCGAAAGCAGAAATCATATGTATGGAAGAAGCGGAACTATGAGGGAGGAGAATGATGCTGATCATCAGATGTTGGCCTATTGGGCAAAATATTAGGGTTAGGCCGGGAGAGGGATTTTTCCTGTGGGCAATCAAAACAGTGACATGATATGTGCAGAACGTTAACTGTTGCTTCATGCAGACTTCATGATTTGCTTGGCCCCACACTTTTTTCAGGATGCAGATTTGAACCTGGAACTGCTTATATATGAAATGTGAGTTCATTTTTGGACTCCTGTGGGCCTGGGGTTTAGGGCTGAACCAGATTGATGTAGGAACTTGATCAGACCACTGTCATCTAACGAATCGGAATCTTAATAATTGGAGAGGCCTGTATAATTATATTGACTGTCTTAACTGATAAGCCATAAGACCACTCTTCTGCCACTGGAAGTCATAGAAAAAGATATGCTGATAGATGGAAAATAAAGTAAATCAAACAACCCTTAAGTTAGTTTGCCTTTATTCTGAAAACTCTGGTTTGGGCTCCTTAAACTACAATCTCTGTAAGTATGGATAATGTATTCTTCCAACTCATCTAGAAGGTATTGAGTTAGCAATCTCTACTTAAGCTATGATTTATGTAAACTATTATTCAGCTATATGTTGAAACTGAGTTGAAAATATTGCCCATCATGTGACAAATGCCAGTATGGTTTAACGGTTAAGATTAGATTAGGACTGGTAGAATCATATTCAAATCCATTCCAGCTGTGGAAATTCAGTAGATGCTTTTAGTCTAATCACTCTTCTATCCCAAGCTATCTCATAAAGCTCCTGAGGGATAATACGGAGATCTCCATTGAAGATGCTGTGAGCCCTTAAAGATGAGATGCAGATTTAATAAGTAAATAATAAACTAATGCCCTTGTGTCTCTGCATCATCCTGAAAATCTGTCATTTGGCTCACAAGATAATTCCTATCACTAATTTCCACTAGAAGATATACCACTTAATGGTAATCAGATGAGCTCTTTATAGTGTATAATTACTTTTTGCTCCTGGATAAAAGAAGGGATATGAATCTAGCACATAGATTAAGTTGTAATATATGCATATGACATCTTTCATGAATGGCTTCAGTGGTCAGGAAATTTCTACAGGAAACACAAAGTAGATAAATTAATGCTGAGGGTTTCATTTTTGTTTCGCCAAAACTATAAATTTATACGCAGGCAGTCCCATTAAATGTAGGAAGGATGAACACACAATTGTATGTTCTAGGTAGAGTATATTAGTTTCATATGGGATTATTAAAAAAAGATTATGGCAATGAAAAAGGTATACTGGAATCCATCTTTTTAGCATTTAATCTTATCTGTTGTGAAATCTTTTGTGAGTGAAGGAAATTATTGTGCTGAGACTGTTAAGTGCCAAGGAGGTATGCACAACTAATATTAGTTTCAATGTGATAAATAAATGATTCTGAGTCCTCCTCACTTTTTTATCTTTTGGGGGGAATAGTACAAGTTGTGTGTACCAAGACAATTAGAAAATTCCATCTATCTATCTATCTATCTATCTATCTATCTATCTATCTATCTATCTATCTATCTATCATCTATCTATCTATCTATAAATCTATTTACCCATCCATCCATCCAGAAAGCAATATAAACACCAGCATTATCAATGAAAACAAAGTACTGCTTATAAAAACTGGAACTAGCGAAGCAAAAGATTACAACCAGTGGAAGCAATTAGAAGTGAGGGAACAGGAATTGCAATCAAGATATATTCCAGATGTTCCTACAATCAGTTGTTTGTGCTGGCTTTATATTATCCTCAAATGGTTCCTGATTGTTTTGGCAATCATTGAAGAGTGTTTTGTGATGGATAACTTTGTGAGCAGCAGTTGAAAAATAATGCTTTGTTTTGACTGGTGAATAAATGTGGCAGTTTGTCATTTGATTTATAGAAGATTTATTTATTGTGCAGTTGTATGTTGGATGCTGTGTAACCAGGTTTGAGGACAGTGCAATAGATCCGCTCCAATCTCTCAATAGGCAGGAGCAAAGGCTGATTCAATAATAACTGAATATTTAAAAAAATAAATCTGCTAATGCTAATCCCAGAGTAAATGCTGTTCATTTTCTCCATACAGAAGGCTGAAAGAGGCTGCACTGAGAGACAATAGAATCTTGTCTGGCCCTTTACTGTGGGTTTGGATGAAGTTGAAACTGGTTGTAGCAA